TGTACAATGTAGATAGAAGTGGGTTAACGATCTGTATTAAAGTGACCAAGCCATGTTTGCCTGAAAATACTCAACATTCAGCTAGGGCCGATAAGTGATAGCAATACATTTTATGTGAGGTAATTTTGAGCATGTGGGCTTGCAAATCTTGCATACAAACCTCGATGACAGGCGTCGCAGTCTCCGTAGACCGTGCAGCATTAGCCCCGCGGCTAACACGCAGTCGTGGCCAACGGGTGGACGAAAATGATGACGCATCTGAAAAAGTGTCTTTGAACGCCTTATGAAATGAAATCGTTATGTAGACGGTATTTCGGGCATGTATGTCACCTGTGCGATTTTTCGATTGATGATAAGAACGGATTGATTTACAGCACTGCGAATTGATGCTGAAATCTGTTAGTGGAACTAAAAGACTAGAGGTAGAATCTCTACTTTTCTTGTTGCTGTAACTGTAACAACTGCATAGTGCCCGTCGCCTGGTGTTACTCGCAGTGGCCAACGCTGTTCGGTTTTATGGAAACTGCAACCCAGACCATTACTGCCCTTTCTTCCGAAATTGCGGGCGAGCAGGCCCAAGCATTTTGACATAATTTGTTTTATCACTTGATTCTGCCTCATGTTGGTTCTCAGCAAACAAGGAAACGTCTTGTTCGTTTTTGCGCTCAGTCCAACGCGCTCGATTTAACAATAATGATGCTCACTATTTCTTTCCGGGAAAGGAGCCCACTTGAGTAAAACTTAGGGATGCATTACTGTTTCCGGCCAGGGGCTAAAGGACCATTCCGTCCCACCGCGGGTGGTCTTTCGGCTGTCATTCTGGCGACACGTCCGTGTGATCCCCTTGCAGATCCAGAGGCCTTCGGAAGGCTAAATGGCATCACATTGGTCCCCTCGCTGACGCGAAAGGTCTTCTGATTCACGCAGTTGATCCCGGATCGACACAGGAACCCTCATTGACGCGACAACATCCCCGATCGCCGCAGGTGATCCAATGACCGGCGCAGAATCCAATTCGGCTCAACGGACTCATGCTGGCATTGGGATGAAGGTCCAACTATTCGGTACTGGCGGCTCTGACTGGTATAGGCCCTTCTATTACCTCAATGTGAACACCCGACACAAGTTCTCATGCTCCTTTCATTGTCAGAGGGCCCCGACCAACACCAGAGGCCCTCTGTCATTCGGGGTCTCTTTCTCGTCCCTGGTGACCAAAAATTTCCCTGATCGACACGAGGCCCTTTGTTGACACAGCATGAATGCCCTGTTACGGCACCGTGGGCCCCTTTTTGTGTTCCAGCAGCCCTGACCAATGTAAACCGCGGGCCCAGCCTTGTCCTTGCTTGGGAAATGGACCCCAGACCTCAGATCGAGGCGGAGCCGGCTGTTGGGCGTTGGTGACCCCTTGCCGAAATAGAGGAACGCTCTGTCTCAGGGGTCCCCATCGGTGCAAGAGGCCCTCTAACTGACATTTGAGATCACAGCCCTACGGGCGGGGTTCCCTAATGTGACCTACGGCCAGCCCTAGGGGACCCTCGGCCTTCCAGTTCAGCCCTTAATCTTTGGTCCCGAGGACCCTTCGGCCTTCTTCAGGCTCCCTTCAACACCGCTCCCGGCCGACTCGGGGCCACTTGCGCCCACATGATCCCTGTCAGGCACTGTGGCCCCTGGCAGACACAGGAGCCCCTCCTTGCGTCAGGGATCCCGAGCACTACGAACACGGCCCCGGCCTCGTTCCTGTTTGGGAATGGGTCTCAAGGGCCTCAGACGAACAGGGAGCCGGCGGGTGTTTGGCTCTTTGTTAAGGCCCTATATAACAAGGATAGATAACCCTAATAAGAGATCCCCAAAAGCAGTCTTCTGGCTGAAATTTCAGGTCACGGCATTACGGATGGGGGGCGGGCCCGAGCTCACCTCAAACAAAGCCCGTGACCGAGAGGGGCCACTATCCGACATATAAACCCCTGTTAGGCACTGTGGGTCCCTGACCGACACAGGGGGACTCATTCATTGTTTCAAGGACCCAAACCAATGCAAATCGTAGCCACCGGCCTTGCATCTGCTTGAGAAATGGGCCCCCAGCGTTCAAATCAACAGATAGCCCAATGTTCGGTGTTCATGGTCTCTGACCAACTTACACGCTCGCATACTCCCAGGGGCCCTCAAACGGTACAAGAGGACCTCTGACTGATATTTCAGGTCACGACCCTACGGCCACCCAGTGTTTATGTGACCTACCGCCGGCCATTCGGGTCCTTATGCTCTCCAACCGGGCCTTTAATCATCGGTTCCGATGGGCCGTGCGAGCTCCTCTCCAGGCCTTGTCGAACACTGTCCTTGGTCGACTCGAGACCCGTTGCAAGCAACGGACCCTCTGTTGGGTACTGTGGACCCCTCACAGATACAGGGGCCCCGATCAGTATAAATCACTGGCCCGGCTCTGTAGCTGATTGGGAAGTGGTCCCTCGGACCCTACCAGCACGTAGCCGACTGTGCGATACTGGTGATGGCTGACGGACATAAATGTCTATATCGACTCAGGGCGCCTCCGATTAAACCCAAGGGCCCTTTGACTGCCATTGGAGGGTCCTCAGGTCCTCAGGCCGGGCCCCCAGACCTATGGACGCTAGTTCTTTCTGTGATGAATAATCTGGTGCTAGCAAGTTTAAAATCGGCCGGTGTTTTGCTTTGGTGATTTGGAGTTTCCCGTCCTTCGAGCCCGCCTTTGACAGTGAAGGGCGACTTTGATAGGTCAAGAGTTTTTGACGAACGTTTGTTCTCGCGCCCGTGAATATTTTGATTTTGCAAATTTGAAATCGGTCGGTAATTTTTTGGTAATATCAAGTTCCTCGTCCTTTGACGCAGCTTTTGACCTTGAAGGTTACACGATATTGCAAAATAAGCGTCATTTTCGATGTGCTTGTGCCATAATTGACGATGCGTATTTCTTTGGAGAAATCGGAACTGGTTGCTGAATAAAGCGTCGAATCAATACCAACTTCATCGAGATGCCACGTGGTGCCCCGTTCCCCTCGCCCCTCACAGAGAAGCCCCCAGATTTCGACCACTTTTTCAGATTCTTGTTTTTTATGGGTAAAATGTCTTCCACCGAAACGGTCCACCGGATTTGCCCACTATTTTAGATGTCAACTCTCTTTTATTTGCAATGCTGGGCATGATAATTTGGCCCATCTGTGATGTCCTTGAATTTTGGGGCGTCTTTGAGAATTAAGCTTATGTGGGCACGAAATGAGAATTTTGGTACCCATGTCCCATCTCCCCCCCCCCCCCCCCCCCCCTGCAGATCCGCTGGTGGCCAAGACTGTCCTGGTCTCCTTCACCGTTCAAAATAAAAGCAGCGCAAGCTGGTCGACGCTGTCACCTGGCGTCAGAACTGCTCACGTCTGTTGCATGGCTCAGACAATAGGTGTAGCAGCGTCTGCCATACGCTTGCATTTCCCTCTGTAGACCGCAATTGACGACAGACATTCGTTTGGAAAGAAATGAGGCCTTCTCGACGACTGTCAAGTGGATGCATAATGTCTTTTCGATAACTTTGATATGGATATTTATCACACAAAATATAATACTACTAAATGAGCCTGCATTTTAGCATCTAATTGTAACTGACAATGCATGGGTACATGATCATAAGCTTTACTTTTCTTGCCAGAACTTTCTTTCTCGACAATACCAGACACCACGACGCGATCATTACGTTTGATGATTGTACCATGGTGGCATAGATCGCGAAAACAATATGACGCAAAACTGACAGCAAACAATGTATGTGTGAGACAAAGTGAGGAAGCACCAAAGCATCTCCTTGAGTCACATGATGTAGTAAGGCACTGATAAGTACGGTATAAATTCACATGTCATAAGGATCTATATCACTGAAGTTTGGCTGTGTAAGCGATTAAAAACTGCTGACTAGACCAACACAACAAACGTAAAACACCGGCACATAGCGAACCGCACTACACACCATCCCCCATCACGAGTGTTGAGCGTCGCCCGCAGTCGCGTGCCTTCCGCTGTCCGCCCCCTGGTTCGCCGGGGGGTGCAGCAGCCAGTCAGCGCACGGGTGTTCGGTGGCGCCACGTGACACCAGCACCCACTGGCCGCAGAGCCCGGCCGCCGCCGAGCCCTGACTCAGCACGTACGGCGGCAGGCCGGGCGGCGGCCGTCGCGCTGTCGTTAGCTGGCCGTTGCTGGCAGCCAGCGCCGCGTGCCGCCAGACGGCCAGCCGGCCGCTCTTGCCGTGCCGACACACCAGCAGCAGCTCGGCCGGCTCGGGCCGCAGCTCCGCGGCGCGCGCCGCCGCCGCCGCCACCAGCGCCGGTGGCGCCGGGTACACCAACTCGTCGGCGGAGAGGGGGCGCGGGTCTGTCTCGCGCGGGTCGTCGGCGTCGGCGGCCGTGCCGATCATCACGCCGCACGCCAGCGCCCAGTGCGCCGCCGCGCCGCCGCGCGCACACGGCTCGTGGTTTCGGTCCGCGTCGTAACTGCGCTCCCGGTTAAGGAAGCATCATGGGAAGACGAGGGACATGCAATAATCTGCAACGTGAGCAATGTGGAGAGACACGTTCCACGTATGGTCGCGAGGAGCCTGCTGAAGAAATACATAAACTGGGCGTAAAAAAAGTTGGGACCATGCTTTACAAAACGATAAGGACCACCTAGCAAAAAACGCGAACCACATGCCACACCTGGCAGCTGAAAGGCTTGCTCAACCATAACCAGCGTCATGGGTGTGAAAAGTCCACTCCACGAACACAAGCATTCATTTAATCAAAACATAGTCCCACCCCCTCCCCACTTCCAGGCCCATCACCAGAACGTCCGCCGCAGCCAGCGCTCTCTCAAAGGATACGGCACGAGCACAGCGTCGCCCCGGAGAACGGCACGCGCCACGGCCGCGCCGTCGGCGAAGTCCTGGCGCGCCTCGACCGCGGCCGGCGCCGGCAGCCGGCCGGCCAACAGCTGAGCCAGGTCACGTGCAGAGAACATCTCGCCCTGGCTGCTCATCTGGCGGGACCGCGCCTCCTCCAGCAGCTGACCGACCGTGACGTCATGAACACCGAGCTGGCGCAGCGCCATGACGGCCGCAGCCAGGCCGCAGCTGTTGGACAGTGTGCAGTGCCAGGCAGGTCAGACCATGAATGGGCCATGGGGGTCAGTGCTGGCCTGCAAAAGATGTTAACAGTTCCAGCAGCATGGAAAAGGAAGTGGAAATGTCTTTAATGTGGAAATGTTAAGCCATCATTCTATCACAACATGTAAAAGTGATGGGAACTAGGACTCCCACCATGAAATGCAATGTGATGACACTTGTGGCCTGTGAGCATAGACACAATGATAACATGAACAAAGACAGGTCATCAGAAGACTGAATCACAAGCTTGAATACTTACGTGGGTCCGTCCTGGAGCAGCGAAGGAGCCTTGTTGAGATGCAGCACCAGGCGGTGGTACCATGTGGCTCTGGATGCACGGAAAGCAATGCCAGCCACTGGGTCCTCATCTGCAGAAGGTGAAGGTGCTAGTGTAGAGCATGGCTGTTTTATTGTTACAGGTGGTGGAGGTGGTAGAGGTGGAGGTGGAGGAGGAGGAGGTAGGGGTGGTTCTGATTCTCCAGCCATCTGAAACAAACCTTAAATTACCACCAAGCAGATGTCAGTCTTGAGAATTCATGCCACCAGAACTGTGGTTCCCCAGTGGTGTATGCACAGCTTAAAGGCTGTCAATTCATTTTCTTTGGCCCAGAAACATATCAATGTTGATGAGCCTTAACCCAAACTTGAGAAGCATCACAATGATATTTAAAAGTCAGCAACTGGATTCAGCTGCTTACTGTTCACTGATTGTGGCCCACATCAAACTCTATGCTATAATGCCATGCTCGAGGCAATTTCACCATGCCAGCCAGCAAAAAATCCATCCACTGCACAAAACACCTATTGACACTGGTACGACCTCACACTGAGTGCAGTTTATGCATGCTACAGCAAATCTTACTAATTTTTCAAACTAACTTAAGCTAAAAGTGCATCATGACAATTTTTCATCAATCTCAACATGATGGTTACTTGAAACACTAGGCTTCCTATGACTGAAATCTGTGAGAGCTGTGTGAAATTCTGATCAGATTTGCTATGAGGATGTTCTGAAAGTTCCACACTGTGTGACATGTGTTTTTGGCAATTAAGCCAACAGGCCATGGCCAATTTGCATGGGGCCCATGTCACATATGAAGCCAAGTACAAAAAATTTATCTGCTTTCAAGAGCTTTTGGTGTAGCAATACAACTAAGGTGGCAGTAATATGCCATTTTTCCCATAAATATCTCAAACTGATGCTTTGGTGGGTCTAATCCCTCTAATCAAGATCCTTCATCGTGTAAATACCAGATATTAAACCAGGTAGCAGGCTGGCAAAAGCTGCAGCGAATGTGGAGAAACCGGAGAAACCCAATCATCAGGGCATTGGAAAAATCCAAAGAATTATTTCAGGCAAACGAATCGGGTGCTTCAGAAAAGAGTACATACTCTCACAATTTTCGTCTGGAAAGAACGCTGTCGGAGATAAAAATCACTTCGCGGGCTCTCAGGTTAGTCAAGGAACAGTTGTTGGTTTAGGGCGCATAACGAGGAACAGTTATTACGGTAACCAGCGCCAGTTATCGTCACAGAAAAGTCACATATGCAACGATAGTTGACAACGCCGTCTATTGTTTGTATTGAAGATTTTCCATTTGCTACCCAATAATGTGTTTTTAAGACTGTACAAATGGCAGTCATAATTAATACTTTAAGTGCAGTTTCTAAAAGCTCGTTTCTTTTGTTAATAACATAAGTGAATCATATAAATACAATATACACTTGCCCTTAGAAATTGTAAAGCTGCTGCTATGGTAACAGCAAAGCTGGATCAACGCTACCATGCAGTGCTGCGAATATAAGTTAGCGTGGTACGTAATAATACAAGTGTTGGATGCTGGGAGACTGGAGCGCTGAGCGGTGCCTACACAACTACCTGTCTTGACGGCAGGGTGTGTAAGGATGCTCGGATGACGCTTTTTGAACAGGGCCGACAAAGTGTTGACGAGATTTGTGTGCTGTTGAGGACGAAGTGTTCGTAGTTTAGCCATACTCCTGTTTTGTAAATTGTGTGCCAGATACATATTTTGCGACGGCGGACACTTGACGAGCAGATAGTTGTTCTGATTTCATTTTTCACAGCTGGCAATGTTGAGTGTAGGCCACGCCAGATATTGCAAGTAGGCTGGATTCGTTCTAGTTTTTTTAAATTCTGCCATCTAATGCCAACTGCCAAGTTAATGTGGTGTTATTTACTGAAACACGCGTGTGTTGTCTGATTTGTTATCTACGGATGCGGAAGGCAGCTGCGTCCATAACAAACCTAGCGCTGTCTGTAAGTTGAAACATGACCGAAACACCGAGTGATATTATCGGCGCTTTTGAGGCAGAGTCCTTCGTTGAGTCCTTGGAATGCATTGATCTGGGGGACGTAGGCTCGATGAAATGGATGACACTGCACGAGAGGCTAGAATCTCTCAACATGCAAGCACTGTTGGAAGCCCAAGGCCAAAAGGAAGAGAACGTCAAGGACCTCATCATCTCCCGCGACAAGCTACCATTTTTGATAAGGGACCTAATACTGACAGAAGTCTGGAGGGACAAAATATTTCCAGAAGTCCTGGAGCAAAACGAGAAGCCGAAAACCTCAATCGGTATATACATCGTGTTGCACCACGAAGTGACGGTGCTCTCTCTCCTGGAACTGGTCACATTCCGACTGCAGGCCACGGTGAGACCGGCCTCCGCGTTGGAGGCTCTGGGCGACCTCGTCCTGGACCTGATCGACTACTGCCACCGCGCCGTGGTGCACCTCATCGCCCACCCTGAGATCCGGCTCGAGCGCGACGAGACCAGTCAGCCGACGATCGGGGAGCAGCTGGTGCGGCAGCGTGACGACCTGCGCTTCATGCAGGCCGTGCAGGCGGTGTCGCTGCTGCAGCACGTGTGCGAACAGCTGGACCAGCTGACCGGTCGGCGTCGTCGCGCCTGCTCCGCCAGCACGACCTGCCGCTGCTGCTGGTGCAGCTGCTGGACGCGCGGCCGTGGATGCGCACCAACCGCGCCAGCCGCCGCCAGAAGTACGACAACCGCAGCTGGGTGGCGTCGCCGCGCGACGATTTCGCCATCGCCAAGGTGGAGGGCCAGGTGTGGCTGACACTGCTACAGCTGCTGATGAACCGCGACCATCTGGCGCTGTACGAAATCTCCGAGTATCGGCGCAGCCAGCTGCTGCGGCTGCAGACACACCTGACGGACGTGCTGCTGGACCAGGTGCCGCCGCTGGCCGCCCTCCGCCAGTGGCTGGCGCACCTCTCCATGAGCCAGCCGCCGCCGGCGCGCTCCCCCGTCATCATCGAGACCGTGCCCGAGCTGCGAGATGGCTTGCTCGAGCGCCACGCCGGCCAGTGGGCGAGGCTTGCGCGCCGCCAGCTGGAGCAGCACTTCCGCGCCGACGCCGCCGCCATCCAGGAGCAGGCGCGTCGCCTGGCGGCCGTCTACGACCTGGACAAGATGGCGCCGCTCATGACCGACGCGACGAAGTGCGGCGCCTGCGGCGAGGCCGCCGCCAAGAAGTGCTCACGCTGCAAGGCGGTGTGGTACTGCGGCCGTCAGTGTCAGGTGAAGCACTGGCCCGTCCACAAAGAGCACTGCGACAACGCCTGAGAGCAGAGACGCGTGTCCGACATCAACGCATGCGAACGCGGGGCTCCGGCAGCGTGCAGGGTCACCGGCCTCTTTTAGATGACTTCCCACATGATGAAGATACGGCAGATGTTAATGGCATGCATTAGTTCTATATTCCTTGCTGTGTATTACGTTTGTCACCAACCTCCTGGATTTTAGTAGGGTTCGGAGCATCATACGCGTTTCATGTGGTTTCTGGTGAATATATTTGCACGCGACATCGCAGCTGTGTGTATGCATACGTTGAAACTCTGTACATTTAGGGTCGGGGACTCGAGCCCCGACAGCCGCACGCCACCGAGCGTCAAAGACCGCTCAGAGACCACCGTCTCAGCGCGGCGGCTTCACCGCTCCACCGCGAAGCGACGTCTCGCATCGCAACGGCACCGCCTCAGATGACGTTGCGACGCACTGCACGCGGCTGCACGGCCACGCGCACGGCCTGACACAGCGACAGCAGCCAGTCCTCAGGGCGCAGCACCTTGCAGCCGGGCTCCTTGACGTCGAGCACGACCGAGATCTCGACCTCGCCATCCTCTGACCACACCTGGTGGCTGACCAGCACGGTGGTGCGCAGCCGGTAGCCGCCGTCCGCCTCCGGCAGCGCGCGGAAGTCGGTGGCGCGCGGCATGATCAGCTGCGCCCGCTGGTCCGGGGTACTGCACGCGCACGCGCACCTGGCTGACGTCGGCCACGTGCTGCAGCTCGCAGTCCAGCGGGATGCCGAGCACCAGGCCGGCCGTGAACTTCTGCGGGTTGCTCCGTCTCCTGGCGCGGCTCGTAGTAGATGACGGCCGTGGCCTGCGTCAGCGGCGAGCGCAGCTGCAGCGGCGGCTACCGGACACTCGGTCAGCAGCGGCGCCAGCACGCGCGCCATGGCGCCCGCCTTGCGCTCCTCCAGCGCCTCCAGGCCGCGCACCAACGCCTCGACGAAGCCATCCAGCGGCTGGCCCGTCTCGACCAGGTGGCGTTCCAGCTGCTGCGCCTGCTCGAGGAAGTACTCACCGAGCGCCAGCGCCGAGCCGGTGCGGCCGCGCACCAGCAGCACCAGCCGCAGGCCCAGCAGCCGCAGGCGTAGCTGGCGCACGGCGGCCGCCTCGGCCGGCGCCAGGCCTGAGAAGCGGTGCTGCAGCTGCAGCGTCAGCGCCGTCAGCTGGTCGGCACTGGCCTGCAGGCGCGCCGGCCCGGCGGCGCTGGCGCCGCGCCAGCTCTCGTCGGCCGTCACCTGCGCCAGCAGCATCTGGCAGTGGATATAGGCCGACGCGAACTGGGCGCGCGCCGACAGCGCCGTGTCGATCTGCGCCAGCCGGTCCAGGTCGCGACGACACTGCTCGAGCGCGGCCCGCCGGCCGCCCGGCGAGCCGGCGCCATCGGCGGCGGCCGCGCGCCGCAGCACACTCTGCAGGAAGTCGGCGCCGTTGTCGTGCGCGGCGGCCCGCCTGCCGCCGGCCGGCCCACACCTGGCCGGGCAGCTGGTCAGGCACCAGGTGCGGCAGCGTGTCGCGAAGGTAGAGGAAGTGACGTTGCGTGCGCTCGTCCAGCAGCGCCATCATGGTGGGCGAGCCGGCGGCGGCGTTCATCACCAGCAGCAGGATGCAATGTAGGCCGGGTCCTGCACGTCCTGCTCCGGCAGCTGGAAGTACGGGTGGATGTTCAGCAGATTGGGCACTAGCGGCAGCACCAGGTCCGGGTTTGTGCCGAGCCCATACGCTGGAAACAGCGCCACAGGCTCCGCTTGTCCTGCGGGTAGCGCTTCAGGTTCTTGAGCAGCTTCTCCACGCAGAGGCGGAGCGAGTCGGTGTTGCCCAGCCGGCAGTCGCCGAGCATGCGGTGCAGGCCCTCGCGCGTGTCGATCGAGTACACCTCGAGCACGGCCAGGATCTCATCCAGCTGGTCCTCGCGCAGCGTGATCATCTGGCCGATGCGCGAGAGCGAGTCGGACGGCGCGCAGCCGCACCTCGGCGATTTCGTCGTTGAACATGTCCACGATGAAGTCGAGGCTCATCTCGGCGAAGTGCGGATGCAGCGTGGCCAGCTCGGTCATCGACTGCAGCGCGGCGGCGCGCACCTCCAGGTACTCGTCCTCCAGGCCGTGCACGAACGCGCCGCACGCGCCCGACGACATCAGGCTGACCGTGTCGGCTTGCAGCTGCTCCTTGGGCGCGTCGTCGCCCCACTTCTTGCCCGACGACCATTCGCCGCGCACGACCAGGCTGCGCAGTCGTTCGTGGCCCGAGCGTTTGCGGCGCATGTTCGACATCAGCTTCTTGTCGAGCGTCTGCTCCAGGAAGCGGGTCGACACGGAAGTCATGCTACCGAGCAGCGTAGCCGCCTGCACGCGCACGCGCACGCCCAGGTCGTTAATGGCGTTACAGACGTGCCCGAACGCGTCATCAGCCAGGCGCACCGTCTGGTCCGAGTCGGTGAGCGCCACCCGGGTGCTCTGGGTACGCTTGGGCCAGCACGTGTACCAGGCGCAGCGCCACCTCGCGCACGGTCTCGTAGTCGTCGTGCAGCGCGGCCGTCGTGTCGGCGTAGAGCGCCACATCTAGCGGCAGGCCGCGATCGTGCAGCGTCAGCAGCGCCTGCAGGGCGGCGGCGCGCACGCGCGGGGTCCTGTGCACGTGTGGCCTCGCCCAGGCGGCGCACGTCCTCCGGTAGCCGGCGGCGGGCTGACAGGCAGCAGGCGACCCGAGCAGCGCCAGCGCGCGCGCGCCCGCCTGGTGACCGGCGTCGGTGAGCCGCGGCCGCGCGGCAGCCACCAGGCGACCGGCGAGGCGGGCGTCCGGAGCCGCCGCCGCGCCCAGCTCGGTCAGCGTGGCCAGCAAGCTGCGCCGCCACCACGCCCGACGCCTCCTGGTCGAGCGCAGCAGCCAGCTCGTCGGCGGTGGCAGCGGCCGGGCCGCGCTGGCCGGACCCGACGATCAGCTGGCCGATGAGACGCAGCAGCGCGCAGCGCACGGCCGAGTCCTGGTCACGACTGAAGACGTCCAGCAGGCGGCGCACCACGCCTCCCACATCGTCCACCTGCGCGTAAGGAGGCGGGTGACTGCCGGCGCGCAAACACGAGGGCCGGTGGAGAGGCGGGGGTCCCCACAATCTCAGATCTCCTCCAATCGGGTATGGTGGCAACACGCGAGCGTGCACGAGGATACCGCACTACGGTGCTTTACAGGAGGGCGGTAGCTTAGGCAGCAGAATACATATTTAAATTTTAAACTAATTAAACAGCTGGAATTATACCGAAATACATACAACTGTTAATGACTTGTTTCACAAACGTTTCCTGCAGCCCTTGCGTTCACTGAGGCTAGACCACGTAACAGAGGCGTCGGAATGAGCTACGCTTCAGTTCCGGCCCCCGAGCACTTGCGTTGAGCTGCGCCACCCTTCAGCTGGGGCCCTGCACCGCAGTGTCAGCAGGGTCCCACTCCGGCTGTGGATTCGAATACCTGCGTGGCACTGAGCTCGGCCAGACTTGTGAGCGCCTGCAGCGAGTCGCGGCTCGTCTTGGCCCGCTGCAGGATCTGCAGGTAGCCCTCGGCCTGGGTGGACGACTGCTCTGGCTTCTTGGTGAGGCGCACCTTTTTGACAGATGGGCCGGCCTCCTGATCGACGGTCACCGTCTGGGTTTGGCTGTACTCGGCCAGTGCTCGCTTCTTCAGCACGGCCGCCATGGTTGCAGCTTAGTCTGTAAATCAGGGCCGATGAGCACTTGATGGGCACTTGATGAGCATATGTCACAGTAGTGGTGGCCCCTTGATGTCAATTACAATGTGTATTGTTAATCTTACACTGAGGCAGGTTGGAACAACATAAATGTGACAAGGCCAATACTGTGTGAAAAGGCCAATACACAAGCGCATGGATCAGCAAATGTATCCCTGCATTAGTTTGGGTAATTATGCAGTCCTGGTCGCTGCCTGTGCTCCTCCCCTTCCATGAAGGAAAGCTGGAATTGCCTGATTTGCTAAAGCATACTTTATAAACAAAAACCCCTTTGGCAGGAAAGCTTGGTAACATTCAATCAATTTTATAGAGGGACTGAGCTCATCAAATAAAATACAATTTAGTCTATAGACAGTACCATGTCACAAACCAATAACTCTAAAAGACATGAGGGCCAACTAAGCCCTTCAGTAAAGTCAACAACTATTTTCATGTCCACCATGTAAGGAATGGTGTAAGGTAATGCATTATTAGCCACACACAGGCCACCCATAAATCAATTTTGCATGGAGAAGATCAGTCTGCAAAAATTCACAACTCTTTGACATGTTAAGTTGCATTGCTATGCAGTAGGCTGAATCTGGACCATGTGTGACATGAACACCAGCACAAAAAATAATCTGCTGCTTCTCAGTTTATGTGACATTGGTGATCAGAAGCTTGAGCAGGTGGCACTGAATTCCAACCAGGCAAACTGAGCAGGTCTTTAATTTGCTTTTTGTTTTGCAAAATGGAAGTGGGTGTATTGCCTTGAGATAGCTGCAGCAAGATCAGAATTGCTTTAAACATAGGCTTATTGGTTTTGTTGTCATTGGGGCCTTATGATATATTTAGCTGCTGAGGCTTTATGTCATCACATTCTGATGACCCTGTGTCACTTGATGGGACATTTTTGGCATCCACACTCTGTCTTCGAACTAATCATTGTATCTTAATTCCTTGAAACATTGGCTTTTCAAGCAACAAAGCATGGAAGCAATAGGCCAAACTCTGGGCACCAAAAATTTACAGCACAATGTGCTGATTGTGTGAGATCATAGTCAATAATTTTTGGGTGTCATTTCCACCTTTTCACTGCATGTTAAGGTTGACATGCTTTTAGGAGGCAGGAGTTTTGGTGGGCCATAACCAAAGGACAAGAGGGAGGTCAATTTCAGGTCTGGAGAGAGGGACAGCATACTATTCTCTAGTGTGGCTGAAAGCATACTTTAACACATGCCGGGGGTGGCTGGTTGGATATCCTTTGCTTGAGTGGGGGTGGGGGGCAACTTGATCCTGTGACATGTCAAGAACTAAGAGATCTAGAGACACCAAACTGGCAGGGTGTGTTGGCCTGTATGTGAACTTACTTGGTCAAACCTTGATATTCCTAGGTCATGACCTTAGGGTTAAATAAGGCCAAGCAAGCTCAAACTCCAAGTTGGCTTTCAAAGTGCCTCCAGAACCAAAACACCTATTCTACGCAAAAGTTCACATGCTCATTTAAGGTCACTGACCTTGTGTGACCTTCTCAAGGCAATAATGTTCAAAGCCATACAAGACACTTCAAGTTTTGCACTTGAACAGGTAACAAAGATTATTTCAGGCAGTGTGTTCCTAGTATGGATGTATGTATGGCAGTGTGGCAGTATGTATGTAATGTGAGGACATGATTTTTGGGAGGCCCCCCCCGGCCCTACATGCCCATTAACAGCCGCCACCATGAATGCGAATGTATAAGGCACACATTTACAACCGAAGCATCCTTGGATTTATCCACGAGCATACGGATGCTTACCAAGCTCGGAGAGCAATTAACGGCCCAGGCTTAACAGAGGAGAGAAAGCAAATAAGAAACAAAGTCTCCGCGCCTCCATCGGTAAACGCGCACGACAACTATTCTCGATGCTGTCTAATACGTTTCTCCAGTTTGCTAAGCGATCGGAAGTGCGCAGCAATTGTGTGTTCCGAATTCATGATATGGTAGCCATTGCGTCACGGAATGTCGCGGGCTTCCAGTAGGGCACAGTTGTGTAGTGTATTCATGCTTCGACGTACGGCCGCAAACACAAAGTAGCTCTAACATGTTCGCCAAGTTAGATCTTTGAACAGCCTATGGCAATGGCCAGCATGGCCGATCTTCTCTGCAATGCGGCTCGCAGATAGCACGTGATAGTCGGTTGATTCGTTTTTAGACCCATAGGGTTGTCAATGGACTGCGATGGAAGCAAGGTGTGATCATGTCTCACTTTCAAAAATGATTTCCATTGTGAGCGCTGACGAGATGGATTGTGATCCCTGCGCATAAGGGCATGTCGATTTAAGCTATTGGTGCCGGCTTGTAAGGTAGTGGGATGACAGCCAGAGGACGACCATGGGAATTACATTTGTGGACGCTTCATTCCGCTGAGCTGTCTCTGGCAGTGGCGACGAGGACCGTTTCCTCCCGAGGTGTTGGAATGCGTAACAAAATCCGGCCGCAGTTGGCATTTGAAAGGCAGCGACTGAAAGGCCTTTAGCATCAAAGCACGCAAGGTGCATCTGCACGCGCGCACGTGGTGATGTGTCAAAGCGAGTTCCGTGCAGGTGGAGCCAGCGGGTGGCGCGTGGCGTGTGTTGGATATTGCGCTGTTTCCATTGGTTTAGCGCGGTCGGCGCGAAAAATTGACGCGGGTCGAAGCCGGCAAACGGTCGCTCGAAAGCGCGGCAAAGCGCGGCTCAGAGCGACGCCAAACCAACACGCTTCGACAGATAATTGGCTGGAAATCGCGTGACGTCACGCATGACGATGCACGTGCTACGTGCCGTGTGCACAGCGGGGTAAAGATTGATTTTCCCATTTTGACCGTTTTTCACGCTTTGTGCCACATCTCTGTAACTGGAGCCCGTGGAGGCGTGAATCCAACTTCAAAACGTCGACATATGTACCACCTGCGATTTCTACAGCCAAAATGAGACTGTCCGATGCAACTTCGCGCCGGTCATCATCATGCAAGCCGGACATGACGAGATTTCGCGAAGCGGCGCCAAATATAACACGCTGTCGACGAAACCATGGCCAAGATCGGGTCGAAATTTGCGTCACCGCATACGTAGATTCATTAGAATCATTAGCTGTAATTACCACCCATTTTCAAGTCATTATGTACATCCATCCCTACGAACATAAGGTGTGCCCAAAGGGCTACAGTTTCGCTTTTTTGCGAAGCCGAAACGCTATCGATCGGTCACCCAGTCGCCGCCGTTGAGAAATTGAAGTAAAACGTGAGAAAGCCCTTGCGCTGTGACCGAATACAACCGCCGTTTTCTCAAATCCATCCACAGTTCATTTATTGGCCGCGGATGGAAGAGTTGAGCCGAGGTAACAACGACATGCATCACTCCGGTGCGTCCTGTCACCAGTAACTGGGAAGATACCGGTGTAGCGAAGTAACTAAGAGGAAGGAGAGTGCATCCCACCAAAGGAGAACGGTGTAGGAGGAGCGGCAGCAGGGGGGACCGCCCCGCAGATGGAGAACAGCACGAGAAGATGGCCAGGAGGAAGAGCCGCCCCGCATATTGAGGACGACTCAGAAGGAAGAGTGGCAGGAGGATCCCCGTCGGAGATGGGGGACGACGCAAGAACAGGATCTGGAGTAGGGATCGCCCTTCAGATGGAGGAAGGTGTGGGAGGAATATTTATAGACGGGGCCGCCTTGCAGATGCAGGACGGTGCAGAAAAAGGATCTGGAGTAGGTGCCGCTCGCAAGTGAAGGACGGCGCAGGAAGAGGGGTGGGAAGAGAAGGTGCACCGCAGATAGAGGACGAATGAGGAGGAAGAGTCCTACAGATAGTGGATCGCCTAGAACAAAATGCAGGGTTCGGTCTAGGAGGAGCTATCGGGTTTCCTTCCCCAGGTGTTCTGGCGCAGCGAGAGATGAAATGTAGCAGTACATTTACGAATTTGGAATTGGCAAAGTGGCAGGCGGCACACCTCAAAATAATCGTAACAGCCGCCCAGCAAAACGGGCCGGAGTCACTTGTACAAACCATTTGGGCTTATGGAGCGCGTTCTGGACACGAGCCACTGTTTCACGGGAGGAGGGGGAAGGGGTAATCTTAGATTACGACGCAAAACTGGAGAACAAAGTAAATATTAAGCAGGTATCTCGTGTCTAGAACGTCCACCTACACACTTTAGAATCGAAGCCAGGGATGCCGATGAGGG